TCTACTAAAATAGCTTCTACGTGTAAATTGAATAATTTGCAATCATAAAAATAAGATATAATTTGTCTCTTTTCCCTTTTAAAATTTAGTTCGGCCAAGAAAAAAAAAAATACAATTTTTACTTTTGGAAATTTTATCTCAAAAATCATTTGTCAATTTTTTATGTCCTTTTACAGATTGGTCTTTCCTGAAATTTTTATTTTTATTTTATTTTTTATTATTTTATTACACTTGATGATATTTACTAAATGGCAATGTACAATTTTTCCTTAATTTCATTTGTAACTGCAAAATATATAACTGCGTCAATACATTTTAAAGTTTAATTAAGAAAATTAAACCTTAAAGACATTGACTATTCATATTTAAATTTTTTCTTTTACTTTTAAACTTTCATTGATATGATTAAAATTATTTCTAACTTTATCTTACTGTTTATAATCGAGACTTAATTAATTTTGCTTAAATGTTAAAGATTCTTAACTCCCAAAGGGATTAAAAGTTGAAGATATTAACGTAAAAAAATTTTCACTTCAGAAATCCAAATATTAAAAATATATATAAAAAAATTTTTAATACTTTCCAAGAAACTCAAGATCACTAAGTTATAACACGATTCGTATAAAACTCATTTCTCTTTACGGTTATATATTTGTTTGCATGCCTATAAGCAGGAATTGAAGTTGACCTTAATTCGACTCACGGTTCAACAGATTATAACTATGCATAAATATTAGGATTAAAGATACGTTTATCGTATAATATGAATCATAATAAGTTCTACTACTGTATCAATATTAAATATTATTAAAATTAGAAAACTAAAACAAAAAATTATAATTTCTTTTTAAATATTACAAGTAAAAAAACATGCTCATATTGAAAACAAAAACTGAAATTTCTCTGTAAATAATGTCATTATATATCGCTCCCATTATTTTTAATGCGTATCAATTTAGAACATGTATTTCATTTTCAATTGTGTGGAATACCATTAAATAGAACAACGTATACAAACTTTGCGTGCAAGAATGTGAAAAAGTATATTAAATTTTTACTCAAAAATCTCACAATACATTAATTTTTTATTCAAAGTATTTTAAATTATGTTAGAAATCTAAACTATAAATATTTGCAAGCATCGTATATTAAATTTTTAAAATAATAATACACTAAATTTTTATACATAATAATTTAAAATTTATAATAAATAAAATTTTTAGAATATTTCAAATTATAATTTAATATTGAATTTTTATATAAACGTTTTATATATGTCATAGAGTAAAATTTCATACAGAATATATAAAAATTATAAATTATAATACTATATGTGATTTATATATTGTTAGAAATTATATATTATTTATCAAATTTTCGATATATTAAATTTTTTCTTAGTGGTTTTGAACATAAAATTTTATTGAGTTATAGTTCAGAAACCGAACAAAGTTTTATCAGTTTTTTTTCCTAGAAACTTCGTTTATATCAGAATTTTTTCACGAATCATTATTAAAAGCTGCTTTATTTTTTGTAACTGGGTCTTTCAACTTCATCTACCATATTGCGACGACGATTATAAAAAGTTAACAATCTCTCTCAGCCGCTTTGGGTGGAGAAAGAACGAAGGCCATCGGTATAATTAAGCTATTTAGAGCCTATTCAGGGTCTAAGTATTTATGTCCTTGTTACAAAGTTCCAAGCAACTGCTGCGCTGCTTCATTACTACAGCTTTTTATTTCTTTCCTTTTCTCTAGAATTTCTACTTCACTAATGGAGATTTTTTTAACGAGAATAAAATAAAAAATATTCCATATAATAAATTCGAGTAGACTTTAATACATTATATATTAAATATTTCCAGATTAGACGATAGTTTCCAGATGTTACTGATAACTGTGATGAGATGAGAATTATAGTCTTCAACCGTTGGAAACACTTGGAAATGATTTATTTTTAGCAAAGCTATTTTATATTTTGAATAATTAAGTATTTGTTACAGTTAAATTACAACTTAATGTTTCTCAATGAGAAATTATTCAAGAAATAAACATCCGAAATTAAAAATATAAATTTATTTAACTATTCTAATGGAAATTTATTATTAAACTATTGATCACATAAGAGAAAAATTTAAAAAAAATATACTAGACATTCATTATCGATTAGATATAGTATTGATTATTTATTTGTCTTTATTCAATAAATTTTTAAAACGAAAATATTACAAATTGTGGCTATAAATAATACTATTATACGTCTAAAAATTTTGATTTAAAATCTCGCGGAAACTATTAAATAAATTTTTATGGCTTGAAAAGACAAGAATTTTTTTTCTATTCTTTTTCCTTTCGTAAATTCCCTTAAAGCTGGAAACCTCATGTATGCTGCAATCGAACGGAATTTTAAATTTGCTTATCTATTATCATATTTTGGAATCTTTATAGAAAGCTTTCGATAGTTCTATTCAGTTACATAGTGTTAAGTATTTTATGCACAACTAGTATTAGAGAGAGATAAATAAGAAACCAACAATAAAATCTTATAATATTTTATAAGCTTGTGACTGTATATACGCTGTAGGTCTATAAACAATCATAAGCTTTTACTGTAGTCATACATATATAAACTTTTGCAGTTATTTTTACTTATTAAAATTAAAATTCCAGAATTATCATTAAAATTTAATATGGTAGGATTAAAAATAAATATTATTTAGTTTGACGTATTACTTTGCTAATTCTCTGTTAATAAAAATATTTTATTGCTAAATTTTATATTCCTTTTATAATATAAAAAATTATTTTTATATAAAAGTAATTGCTGTGTTATATATTTTCATATAGAATATAATCAAATACTTTATCGGTTTATTTATTCTATTTTTGCTTAGAATTTTCTGTCGATGTTTCAGTAAATTTAATATAACTGTCATCTTGTCTAGTTTAAATATTTTATGTTTTATTAAATAAATTTAAAATATTTAAGACTATTTAAATATATTTAAAGTTGTTTACGATTGAAGGATATAAATATTAATATTTTATTAATGCTGAAATGATAAAAATTGCTTACTTAACTCGATTAATTATATGAAAGCAGTGGCGTAGCTAATGAGGAGGTAAAGGAAGCATCGCTCCCCTTGAGCACATTTTTGCCTTTTCAGCAGTTTTTTTATCTGTACAGTTAATTTATACAATAGAAGTCAAATCTCGTCATTTTTTATTTGTTTTTTATAGCATGGCCTTGGAAAAACTTTCTGCAGTCATTACTTTATTTGACCAACTTCCCATTGTTTTGAACTGTCTGCTCAATCTCCTGTGATGGGTTGGTGGCCTCTGGCTTTCATTTTACGTTTAAAATTAAAACAATTAAATAACACAGATGCTTTTCTTGTGTTTTGAGATCTAGGAGCTTACTGTAAAACTTTTTTATTGTGTTTTGATTTTAAATACTAAATAACAATTACGTACTCTACTTCCTTGTGTTTTGATTTTAAACACAACATATTAAACGTATAATAAGTTTAAAATGTTTGGTACCATGGCAGTTTTTTTCATATGTGCTCGTTTCCCCTAACTTCAGAACCTGGCTATGTCGCTGTATGAGAGACAAGTATTGTTATATTAAGTATCAGAACAGTATTTGAGACTATATATTATAACATATTCAGTATTTTCTGTACATGTAAGATATCAGCCTTGTTTAATTGTTGTTAAGGTATATTTTAACGACAATTACAGAAGTAATCTGGAAAGTAGTTACCGCAGCCATTTTCTTCTTCAGGAAGTAGTCGTTAATTTAGGGAAATTAGACCTATTTAAATTATGTTTGAATCACTCTTAGTTTACTGTTTAAGCTTTTACTTTAAATCACATTGCACACAAGAGTCATTTGTTTATAGAAAAGTTTTTAAAATATAATTTTATCTCCAACATCTCCTCTTTGATAGGAATATGACAAGCTAATGATTATTATATTCCTAACTTATCGGTAATATTTATATTTTGTGATACATCTTGTTTACTTACAGAATAATATTAAATTTTTATACGATTTACAGCAGCGATTCCGAACCTTTTCTAGTTCAATTCCTTTTTTTCAATGGAAATTTCACGTATTCCTTAATCTTCATATATTGAAAATAGTTATGGAATATTGTCAAAAATGGCTTTCAAAAGTCAGGTAATTTATTCCTTTTCTAAAATAAGTTATAATAGGAAAACTTTTTATAATTAAATAATACAATAATAATACTGTAATGACAAATGTTTACACAATGCTGTAGTTTATCTACAAGGATTACAATTAATGCTGTATTGTAAATAACCTATTTCTGGAACATATTTAAATTTATTTTTAATAAAATCAGATTAAAATAGTTATAAATATTCTTATATACATTAAGCAGCCATTATAGATTTTTTTTCCGCGTACACCCAGGAAATGCTTTGCGTACCCCGGAGGTTGGAAAACTGATCTAGACTATACTGTAATGTAGTAATACTAAGTGATAACATAAGTAAAATGAGCGTATTCTTAATATTTCTTAAATATTATACAAATTTATATGTATATANATTAATTAAGTGTTAATATTTACAATATATTTTTGAAAAATTAATTTTAAATAAATCTCGAGGACGGTATTAGATAAATGAAATTCGAGACCAGATATGAAAACTTACGGGCAGGAGGCCTCGATTAACTACATACGAACTTCTGGTCCTTTACCGGAAATTACGTTATTTTAATTCAAAAATTTCCCCCGAACGGAATGACATAGATAATCAGCATGGCTCTACTGTTATCAGGAAAAGTATGATGTACAGGGGCCAGATATCCTAGTAACTATATATATATATATATATATAAACTTCATGCTTTCTGGAATTTGCAAAAAAAAACAAATAAAAAGAAATGCAAAATAAAAAGTAGTCACATTTATAGAATCTGACACGTCATATAAAATATTTAGAAAAGAAAAGAAAAATTCTTACCTGATGTAGTATCTGATTGTATAATCAATCCGTCATCCCTAATCCAAGACGTAACCGAAACATATTCTTTTACAAAACTTGGAATGTGACATTGTAGCACTGCAGTATTTCCTCTAGTAACGAATACATCATAAACTTGTGCTTCGTAATATTGTTTGACAGCTAAAAAAAATAAAATAAAATTGTTAATTTAAAAGTACATCGCAATATACATGCGTACATACATTTTTTTTTTTTTATAAAATTTAACACTTTGAACTTTTAAGTAAATCTAATTACCTCAATTCTTATCTATGTAATTATTCACTGATGTAATCTCATTTATTGCATCTTAAGTATTGATTATATTTAAAACAGTAATTGGGTCAATTTAACTTTAGCTTTTATTTTTATTCTTAGATTTATTCTTTTAAATTTTCGTATTAACAAGTTTAAATTTATGACGAATATCAAAAGCAATTTTGTATTAATTATGGAAGTTTTAAGTTATCGTCGAAACTAGATCCTAGTCATTAACACGGTTCAGTTTTTACAATATCGTTGTTGATAGTGACTTTCATTAGGTTTTTGACCTTTTTCTTCATTGGCAAACATCCAACAACCACATATGGTTAAATATTTGTGAAGTTACCAATCTGTTCATTTTATTTGGTTGTGTCAGCATGTTAATGGTTTAGCCGTTTCATACTAACAAATATTATTTATTATTAATGTTTGTTTATGCTATTCCCACTTTTAATAACGGTTTACTTTTATATAATTAATCACACGTAAGGAATCGATACTGATTCAATTTCGTAACCCCTAAGTGATGTAGTAAATTCGATAATCAGATATTCCATACATAGATTCCTACATGTATTATAAGATTAACATTTGTCATATAAAATATAAATAACATATGTAACTATAAGATATGAGCATCATTAACATTTTAATAATTAAAACAAACTTGAAAATTATAATTTTTGTAGGAAAATAAATTAGTTTAATTTTCTCTGAACTACTCAGGATAATTATTATATTCAACTTAGTAACCATCAAGTAAATTACTTGAACACCAGATCTTACATAGATATTATAAAATGTTGAGAATAATTAACTGTAAAGAATTTTGGTTATAATACTAAATTTCGTAAAATATTCTAAGTTGTTATTATCTAAATGAACGTTGGAAAATTTAAAACATTTATTTAGAAAGTGGTTTTAAATTTGTTTCAATTAAAATCAGCATTACAGTTTAAAGAGCATCATATATTTTTTCTTTCGGTAAAAAATTTCTTCTATTTTACTTCTGAATGTCTGCCAAACTTGACAGATTTCCCCACAGAATTCATACTTTGTTCATCCTAGGACAAATCGATCTATGCAAGGAACTTATTGGTTCCAAGGTACAGTCTGTTCAACTGCACTGGTTGAGAGTGACAAATTCTCTTGAGTTTTCAACTCCAAACTGGCAGACATATCTTCCTGATTCTGCCACATCTCGCGTGACAACCAAGCATAGATTGCATTTTTTTATTTTATAGAAACCTTTCTTGATATTTAGATGAATGATTCCACGTATTTCTCTTATTGTTATACTGATATATTGTTAACTAAACGTAAAATTGACGATTAAAAAAGGAGAAAAATCACATTTGATCTTAAGTTTTATAATATACTTTTAAAGTTATAAGTTATATATATATATATATATATATATATATACTTTTGACACTTTTATAATTATATTTCCTTCTCTTTTTTATCATTATTTTTAATCTTTTTATTAATTCGAAACATAAACTAACCCTTAACCACAGTTAATTAAAAATAATAAATTAAAAACATTTTTTATTTTTTTTTATAACAAAATCAATTTTTATTTCAAAGATATTTTTAGAATTTTACTGATTCAGTATAATCATCTTATGGCAAGTGTCATTACCTTTCAGTAAGAAAAATTAAATATTCCTTTTAAGATAAAGTGCTCATAAAATGCCTAATTAATTATAGTATCCGCGAAGTTTATGCCTAATTTTAGCTTAAGGCAAGCTAGAATTGAGTATAAATTCGGCGACGTGAATTGTCTATTCTAAAATTTTATTATCGGAAAACTTTAAGGTTTATAATAGGATGTAGTATGAAGGAATTTTAGGTTAAAAATTCATGCTTCGGATCGTGGTGTGATCTTTCTTAGTTAATCTCTCCTTTGACCTCTTTAATATTTACTGTTATGATCAATAGACGCTTTCTCGCTTTCCTCGGGGGTCATCCAGTTCGGAAACCATAAAGGAATACTTCGAAGTTGCATTTAAAGTGAGGAATAAGTCCGAATTAAATATTTTAAAATAAATTATTCATACAATTTTCCAAGTCCCTAGACTGAATTAATATAGGCCCTATATGTTTTAAAAAAATTCTCGATAATAGTTTAAAAGAAATTTTATATTTCTTAATGCATTCTAAAATACACGTAAGACTTTTCTTTCTGGAAAAATAACATAATACTAAAAATTAATCATAAAATTATTATTATTTTTTTATATATATATTAAATTTAAGAGTTTTGAGTTTTTACACATCCAGACATTACTATAATGGGAGAAATTAACCTATAAAGTTTTATTCTGCGTCATAAATCAGCAAAGTGCAACAGATTCAGAAAACAACACGTACCGTACAGAAACAGATTTTCTCTAGAGGCTCACATGATAAAAAATTAATTTTTTTCCTAGCTTAACAGATTTATTTCGATATTATAAAAAATAAAACGCATTAATATGATTTATTTTAAAACATAAAATAATTATATTTTTTATATTAATTTAAATATAATTACTTTTTTTAAATTAATAATTTATTTTAGAAAGTTCAAACGTAATAAATATAAAAATTTCTTTAATAAATAAATATATGCATACAGAAATTACCTTTGGTGTNATCATTATTTTTAATCTTTTTATTAATTCGAAACATAAACTAACCCTTAACCACAGTTAATTAAAAATAATAAATTAAAAACATTTATTATTTTTTTTATAACAAAATCAATTTTTATTTCAAAGATATTTTTAGAATTTTACTGATTCAGTATAATCATCTTATGGCAAGTGTCATTACCTTTCAGTAAGAAAAATTAAATATTCCTTTTAAGATAAAGTGCTCATAAAATGCCTAATTAATTATAGTATCCGCGAAGTTTATGCCTAATTTTAGCTTAAGGCAAGCTAGAATTGAGTATAAATTCGGCGACGTGAATTGTCTATTCTAAAATTTTATTATCGGAAAACTTTAAGGTTTATAATAGGATGTAGTATGAAGGAATTTTAGGTTAAAAATTCATGCTTCGGATCGTGGTGTGATCTTTCTTAGTTAATCTCTCCTTTGACCTCTTTAATATTTACTGTTATGATCAATAGACGCTTTCTCGCTTTCCTCGGGGGTCATCCAGTTCGGAAACCATAAAGGAATACTTCGAAGTTGCATTTAAAGTGAGGAATAAGTCCGAATTAAATATTTTAAAATAAATTATTCATACAATTTTCCAAGTCCCTAGACTGAATTAATATAGGCCCTATATGTTTTAAAAAAATTCTCGATAATAGTTTAAAAGAAATTTTATATTTCTTAATGCATTCTAAAATACACGTAAGACTTTTCTTTCTGGAAAAATAACATAATACTAAAAATTAATCATAAAATTATTATTATTTTTTTATATATATATTAAATTTAAGAGTTTTGAGTTTTTACACATCCAGACATTACTATAATGGGAGAAATTAACCTATAAAGTTTTATTCTGCGTCATAAATCAGCAAAGTGCAACAGATTCAGAAAACAACACGTACCGTACAGAAACAGATTTTCTCTAGAGGCTCACATGATAAAAAATTAATTTTTTTCCTAGCTTAACAGATTTATTTCGATATTATAAAAAATAAAACGCATTAATATGATTTATTTTAAAACATAAAATAATTATATTTTTTATATTAATTTAAATATAATTACTTTTTTTAAATTAATAATTTATTTTAGAAAGTTCAAACGTAATAAATATAAAAATTTCTTTAATAAATAAATATATGCATACAGAAATTACCTTTGGTGTGTTTTCAATGAAATGATAAATGATTGAAGATTTCGTGAAAAGTAATAAATTTTAATTAGAAAGTAAGATATTAATCAATATAATTGATTATTATAATAATATAGTCAGTCACTTTTTATGCTAATCTATGCTATTTAAAGTGATTGTTAAAAGAGAAAAAAAATTAAAAAAATCAATCATATAGAATTAAAGATGATTTTTGTAAATTTTCCCCTCCGTCAAATTCTTACGGAAATATTTAAAGTGAACTATTTATCACATTTTAACTGAATAGAAAATGATGACCTTTCGTAATAGAGAGCTTATTCTTTCATTATTGATGTTCTTTTGTGTAAAAAATTTAAATGCACTTTCTATTCAAATGAAACTCCATTCTTTAACAGACTTAAAAATTTTTAATGAATATATTTATGGTCTTATTTCAAAAAGTCGAATTCTTTAGCTAAAGAGATTTTATTAAGTACTAATTAATTAAAGTGATTTTTATTTAATTAAATGCACAAAAGTTGTTTAATCCTAATNATCATTATTTTTAATCTTTTTATTAATTCGAAACATAAACTAACCCTTAACCACAGTTAATTAAAAATAATAAATTAAAAACATTTATTATTTTTTTTATAACAAAATCAATTTTTATTTCAAAGATATTTTTAGAATTTTACTGATTCAGTATAATCATCTTATGGCAAGTGTCATTACCTTTCAGTAAGAAAAATTAAATATTCCTTTTAAGATAAAGTGCTCATAAAATGCCTAATTAATTATAGTATCCGCGAAGTTTATGCCTAATTTTAGCTTAAGGCAAGCTAGAATTGAGTATAAATTCGGCGACGTGAATTGTCTATTCTAAAATTTTATTATCGGAAAACTTTAAGGTTTATAATAGGATGTAGTATGAAGGAATTTTAGGTTAAAAATTCATGCTTCGGATCGTGGTGTGATCTTTCTTAGTTAATCTCTCCTTTGACCTCTTTAATATTTACTGTTATGATCAATAGACGCTTTCTCGCTTTCCTCGGGGGTCATCCAGTTCGGAAACCATAAAGGAATACTTCGAAGT